AGGAGGGAAAGACCGCCTCGGGTGCTCAGGTCGTCATCTTCGACTAGTCACCCATCCGAGTCTACCGTACACGCAGAGTAGGGCTAGAAGCCGAACGATCAGCAGAGGGGCGGTGCTGCGGGAACGTGAGGTAATATGAATTTGCTGGGTCGGCGGGGTGGCGACGCGTGAGTTTTGGGAATAGCTTCGTGGGCTGCTGGTATGTGCGAGGCGGAGAGCTGGGCGGCGGGTTTAATCAAATGCGAGATGAGATTGCGTGCTATCGGCGGAGGTAAACAAGGTCGTACATAACACCGTTGCACTTCTGATTATTTTCGTGGAAAGGTTTTTCATGTTGGATGGTTTCCTAATTCCCTATGGCGCTGAACATAAATCATCCAGCTTTTCTTACTTCAGGATTTCGCATAATGCGAGTGCCGTTTCTTGTCTGCAGAGCCATCGCAATTGACATCCTATTTGCCCCTTGCATCCAGGACCCAATAGACTCTTGAACCCACCCAAGACTCGAGTGACCAACGCATTCCTCTGCCCTCGGGCCGGATCCCTTTTCTTCCATCACCATCCCCGTGCCGCCCTCTTGACGCACTTGACTTCATTGATCCTCAACGCAGCCGTATCGTGACTCTCCAATTCCACGACGTACTCGTCCTCAAACACCCCGAGATCCTTGCCAGTCCACATGTCGTGCACAACATACTTCTTCCCGGCCTTCAGGCCAGGAACATCCTTGAACGCGACCGTCTTCTTCTCGGTGCCGCTCAGCGTGTTCAGCACAAACACGTGCGTTCCCTCCACCGAAGCCCCGGACCAGAACTCGGCAGGGTGCGTAATGTTCCACGCTCCGTCCGGGTTCACGCCCCACTTATACGGCTGCGCCGCGGCCCCGAACTCCGGATCCTGATTGAATTTCACCAGCTCCTTCGTCGACAAGATCTGCAAAATCTCTGGCTGAATACCTTCCAACTTGGTCCCGATAATCAGCGGGCTCTTCAACGCAGCCCAAAATGCAAAGTGGCTCCTGCTCTCCTGCAGCGTCAGGTTCCCGTTGCCCACCTCGAGCATATCCCAGTCCCCGTGGCCCCAGAACCCGTTCACGTCGGGACCGCTCCAGAAGGCAGCGTGATTGAGAATAGGCATCAGACCCCAGGACCACTGGTGCTGGCCGTACCACTCCGGGTAAATGTCGCCCCACATGCGCCAGCTGTGGCCTGTCTCGTTGCCCCAGGCCTCGACGTGGGCGTGGCCCCAGGCGCAGAGGGAGTACTGGATCGTCCTGTCCTGGGCGAGGAGGGCGTCGCGCATGATGCGATAGCGTTCTGCCGTCAAGGAAGTTGACCAGTCGTAGCCTGCGGGCGCGGGGAGGCCCGTCTTGGAGTTGACAGGGTCACCGTTGTCTTGGTCTTCGTTGGGTGGCCCGCCGAGCCAGAGTTCGGGGACGTATTTCCAGTCGTCGAACCATTCTTTCGGGACATTGCAGTTGTCATACTTTAGGTCTGAGGAGAAAGTGGATGCCTATCAGAACGTTGATCCGATAACGTGTTTTGCGACGAGTCTAGGGGACAGGGGAAGGGTTTGGAGGGGGTCAAGTTGAGGGATGACGTTGACGCAGGGAGGGTGGAACGGCGAACGGTGATGGAACTTACAGTCGATACCCCATTTTGCAAACGTCGCGGCATCGATTTCTTCGTAGCCTAGCGATCCCTCGAAACCGCCGCAGGTAGAAGTTCCTGTGAAAGTTGCGTCAGAACGTCGTCGCAAGACCAAACACTAGAGCATCCAGCATTCTCGCAACATGGGCCACGACCAACGCCCTTCACGCAGCTCTCGCGCAACTTGGCATCCTCAACACCACCAAAGACGGCAAGAGTCCAACTCACCAGCATCACTATAGATCCCAACCTTCAACCCCAACTCATGGATCTTGTCCACCGTATGCTTGATCCCCTGCGGAAACTTCACCTTGTCGACAACAATCTCCTTGGTGACGTTATCCCTCCGCAGTTCCTTGTCGCTCCAGCAGTCGTCAATGTTGACGTACTCATACCCCAGATCCTTCAGTCCCAAGTCGACAATGTGTTGCGCGACGGTGAGGAACACCGTCTCGTTGATATCGCACCCGTACTCGTTCCACGAATTCCATCCCAGCGCGGGAAGACGGCCGGTCTTGCCGTCGCGGCTGACGAGGGCTGCGGCCGTGGAAGACAGGCCTACGGCGGCGAGGATGGCCGAGCGCATTGCGAAGATGTCAAGAGGTTCCGGCTTGTGGCAAGTCTGGTACCGAGGTTTTTTCAGTTATCACGACCCTCGCTACAGAGCTTCACTTCTCCCAAAGATTTACAAGATGGGCTGGAGGATAGCTGAGCCGGCGGGATGAGAAAGAAGGAACCCGAAAGTGGCTTCGAGGGTTCATATAGGCTGGAGGAAAACACTCAAGATGCATGCAGCATGATCTGCCAACTTCAACATACCCACCATCATCCCATCCGAGAACCCCTCAGTAGCACCGAACGCAAAGTGGGAAAATGCAACATACCCCAAGTTCATCCCAGTCCCATTGCTGGGCAAGGGCGGACGGCCACGCGGTGGCCAAGAATGAGGTGACAGCGCTGATCGCCGTTCGCTCACGACGCATCTTGGACCGGTAATTCCAGAATCCTGGATCCGTTGTGTAAGGTTACTGGGGAAGGTGGATGATCCAAAGTGATCAGACGAAACATGCTGGTCAACCCGCAGTTTGTAGCGACACGGAAAACCTCAACGACTCCTCACGAATCCGGGTTCCTTGACTAGGCCGTGAGGGGAACCTCAAAAGAAACAAAATACTCTTCAATTGTTGGTGGGCTGCCACCGTCACATCCAGGAGAAATACGACGCCATCAACGGCGATGCCCCAGATGCGCGGAGGATCGCCGTCCGAGGAAAGATGGGGCCGCGTGCATGACAAAATGAGGGGAAAGCTCAAATCCTTTTGACAGTCGTCCAACGACAAGGGGTCAATTCCGCCTGTTCGTCCAATGTTGGAGAATCCCAGCCAGGTACGGAATCCTCGGGCCAGCCCACGATGGCGGGGTTGTGTTTGTTGGGGCATGGTGGCATGCAGCTTCTAGGAGCACGTTGTTAGGCGACCTCGGCGTGTCTTTGCCTCGCCTGGTTTTGCCTGGAGTCGCTACTGTCAGCCACCCCTCATATCAGTCGAGATCCGCAGACGGGTATGGTGATGTTGATTGTTTGTTGCAATCACCTGGAAATTGTTTCCGAATAAACAGACTGAGAGACAAATGCTTCGGTGAACTTCCCCTGTCATGGTGTTCCTGCCTCGCCTCACAGATTGGGAGGAATTGGCTCAATAACGTCTTGTTCAGAGACTCGGATGATGGTCCAGTAATATTCCTTACTTCTAAAATCTACGAAGATTTGTTACTAGTCGGAGCAACCTGTCAAACCGATTCCAGGTAATTCTGGCATTGATGAGGTGGATTTTTGAGGGGGAAAGTATTCATCTTTTGACCTACCGACTGCCAGGCGATACAAAACAGTTATTTCTGTTTGTAAAAAAAAGTAGAGGCTTTGATTCTTTTATTTATAAACGTGTGTACTCATAATACAGAGAACGACGTCGGAGGTAAGACAAGCATTATGAACGCCAAGGGCCACAACTTTCTTGTCAGCAAGCGGGGGTGTCATCGACAGCCGGACTTATTGATAACTCCAGACATGCTTAGATTGTGACATGTTACGGCGCCACATATTTACTCAATCGTTCTGCCTAACACTTTTTACATACTGCTGACAACTAGTCCCTCTTAGATTTCCTTTCACTCGCCGATCTCCCGGGTCCTCCACCGTAGCTTAATTCCAAGGGTTGCTAAGCCCGGAGGTGGATCATCTAGATGATTTCATCACCCGCGACAAGGCTCCTATTTGCTTCTACAATAATATGAAGCGACTCTCTGCGCCGAGGATGCTGTAAGTGGTAGGTGGAAGCGCAAGTTCGAGCCCGGTATTAAGCAAGAGATTCAACGAACATGACAGCTCAGATACGGTACTCCTAAGTGACCTTGTTTTAGTAACCACAGCGGCTGAGATGCGGTTTTCTGAGAAAGAAGCATTTGTTGTTGTCTAGTTTGCTCTCAGGTTACCAGTTCATGTTGGTGAATGGCTCTTCATTCCCCTTTCACCTGACACATGAAGGGGCCGTCTGACTTGTGATTGAGATGTTGTCCCTCTTTCTCCATGTTGTAATACCACAGGATTTTAGGTCCAGATGGTCATCTTGGGAGATTCAACCATTCATCAACATCTGTCCCAGCAAATCATGTGCTCTTACACATCAAGCAAAAACACAGGTTCAAGATGACGTACTTTGACTGCAAATCTATCTGTCCGGAAGTCACTCCTTACCCCCAACGCGGGAAGGTAGCATAGTTGCGGATACACTACCTAAGCCTGAGCGAGTATGGGTATTTAGGTGACGAATGAGCAGCAATCGGACCGAAGACTAAAAGTCGTCTGCTGTAGAACAAGTCTTGAACCAATTGCCGGACTCAAGCCAAGACCGAGGAAGTCCACGTTTGGATTCTTCCGCCACAAAATTATGTTGCAAAGGTAAATATGCCCGCGGGCGGTGGTGTCACCCCTTGAATTGATGATTGTATCTTGCGTCTAGTCACCTCCATAGCCAATGCTACCTGCCAAGTTTAGCTCAGTCATCGCTTTGCTTTCTTCTTCCTGAATACCACGAGGCCAAGCATAGATATGTCATTTCAATCTCCGAGGATCCTGTGTCAGCAAACGACATAATCTCCATACCGCCGAACATCATCAGCAATCGCAAGATGTCGTCTTGGAGGAGGTTTCCATGTGGTGCAAACATTTCCAAGTCAAGATTCAAGATATACGCTCCACATTAAAGGCGGTTCTGCATTAGGAGGAGTATAAAACCTATAGACAACCATCACCATGTATCGTTTCTCTGTTCGCAAAGTCTCCAAGTCGCGAAGATGCACTCTACCGGCCTTCTCACCTCTTGCCTCCTAGCCGGGGCCGCCGCCGCCATCGGCGTACCAGCTACAGAAGCCGAGATGTCAGTCGACTGGCATCTAAGAAGAAGCCAGTTGGCTGAACCAGTCTCGGCATCCTGCGTACAAGCCGTAAGCTTTCCAAATCTCTCCTCCTTGGGCCTTTTTTTTTCGGTCTTCCATACAAGGCATATGAAGCTAAGAATTCCTCTCTTCCGCCAATCCAGTGTGCTCAGCTCTCTGCCACATTCCCTCCCTCACGCTTCCACTACCCAGAGAACGATACAACCTTTGCTATCTGGGACGCCAAGCAGCAAAAAGTCCGCCCAGCGTGCCGCGTCGAACCCACCACCGCGTCCGACGTCTCTCTCATTCTCAAAACACTCGTCGATAGCTGGTGCCACTTTGCCGTCAAGGGCGGCGGCCACTCGCGCAACGCGGGCGACTCCAACTCCATTGCCGGCGTTACTATCGACCTCGACCGTATGAACTCGGTTGAAGTCGTCGGCAACGGAACGGAGACGCCCACGCGTGCTAGAGTTGGTGGTGGTGCGACGGTGATTCAGGTCTACCAAGCTCTCGAGGGGAGAAAGCTCTCGTACGTGGGCGGACGGTCCGCGACTGTTGGTATTGGCGGGTTCACGCTGGGCGGAGGAACGTCGCCTTTCTCGAGTCGGTATGGATGGGCTTTGGATAATGTCTACGAGTACGAGGTGAGTTGAACACAGCGCCCATCTACCCGTACCTGAATATCCTTCAGAACTATTCTATTATCGTATATCCGCATCCGCGAAAACAAGAACTTCACTAATGCATTGTTCCATCCAAAGGTCGTCCTCGCCAACGGCACAATCACAGCAGCCTCAGAAACCCGCAACCCGGACCTCTACTTCGCCCTCCGCGGCGGCAGCAATAACTTCGCCATCGTCACAACCTTCACCGTCCGCGTCTTCCCCCAAGACGCCGTCTCCAGCCACCGCGCAACGTACACCTCGGTAAACCAGACCGAGAGTGCCCTCGACGCCATCTACGACCTCTTCACGAATCCCCAACTCACTGCCGATAAAGACATGGCTTATGACTTTTATTACATGTTCAACCAGGCCTCGGGGGCCTTCTCGCTCATGGGGTCGGAGTGGTACGCGAACCCAGCGGTCCTGGAGCCGGAGGTCTTTAGCGCTATTCGGAGTGTCCCCTCGACGACCAGGACTGCGAGGTTGGGGTCCATGGCGAATCTGACTGGGACGTTGCAGCCGCCTGTCTTAGGCACCACGCGGTATGTCTCTTCCCTTTACTTTCTCTTCTGAGTTCGGGGGCCGTGCAGTGCCAGTCTACAATCGCGTGTGATCCCCCAAAGAAACGTGCTGATTGTTGATATTTTCATCTCAGCCACCTCTTCGGCACAATAAGCACTCTCCCCTCCCGCGCCCTCCTCACTCAGGCCTTTGAAATCTTCAGAGAAGAAGTGTCAGCCATCTCCACCGTCGAGGGTCTGGCCCCGAACCTCATCTGCTACCCTCTATCGACAACCGCCATCCAAGCAATGAAGCAACGCGGCGGCAACGCACTCGGCATCAACCAAGATGAGCCACTCTATAGTAAGTGGTTCCCGTCATACCTTCCTCCCATCTCTTATGATCTCTTTTGCGCTCTCTCCAGCGTCCATCCATGTTTCTCCATTTCATGATATCGAAATCCTGCTAATATGATACTCTCCGTCCCTAGTCTTCCTCGTCTCAACAGCCTGGTCCAACGCCCAGGATGATAAAGCCGTGGAACGAATGACGGCAAACGTCCTCTCCCGCATGGAAACCTACGCCCAAGAGTCTGAGATCGCGCACCCTTACCTATACATCAACTACGCGTCCGCAGCGCAGGCGGACAAGGTCTTTGCCGGGTACGGGGAAGAGGATGTCCGTCGGCTCAAAGCTGTCGCTCACGAATTCGACCCGGAGGGCGTCTTCTCGTCCGATGGTCTCTGGCGTGGGTTTGTCAAGTTGCTATGAGAGAAGCTCGCCCATCGAGCCGTTGGTTTTTTGTGGCTTCCGAGGCTTATGTTCCCTTGTAGATATCTATACACCGTCAGCAGATCAGGTTCTTTTCACCTGCATCAAGCAGTCTTTCTGTTCTTCTAGGTTCCAGCTTGGAAACCTGTGTGGGATTTTTGTTTTAAGAGAACTCAGAAACCTGCCATCTATACAACTTCCCGAATGACCCAGGAAAGCTGCTCGTGGGCTTCTGACCATCGTTCTAAACGTCTCACACACCTTTGAGGTAAGGCAGGCAGATTTGCCTTACCAGACACAGCCCATTCAGTACTTGTGATGACAAATCTTAAGAGCTTCTCTTAGATGTTGGCCAAAAGGCCTCCCAGTGTTAAGACCATGGACATAAGTCTGAGTGACCTTGACTCTATAAGAGTTGGGCGGAGGCTTCTTTTAATGTCTTGTTGGGGCCCGCAGTGATACCGAAATGTTGATGCCGACCTTGGTTTGCTTTGGCCACATTTATTCCAAACATGCACTTTGCGGTGCTCGAGGTGATAAACTCTCCATGCCATGGAATAATCGAACAAAAAACACGGATAATCGAGCATTTCTGTGGCCAAATCAACCGCACCTATGCCACCCGCATAGTCTCCACCGGCGTCATGCCCGAGCCTCCTTCCCTCTAAGCGTGCCTGAGAGTGGAAGGTACGCTCTTACTTGGAAAGCCTGACTTGGATTTGGGTCTCAGCCTCTTGGCACCCTTGAGGTGTTGCGGACTGATTTAAAGTACTAGGCCGTGATATTCAGGTGTTGGCTCCTTTTCATGTCGTCACCAGAGGACCTACCTTGGTATGAGTGTTCTTAGTTAGACAAGGTACATCATGGCTGTCTAATAGGTTAGGTCGTATCCATACCGCGCAAAAACCTTGGAAGTAAGAGCATAATGGAGACAAATAAAATAGCTTCATTCCATGATGCAAGGCACCGAGAGCTGTAGCTTGCCTTGATTCCAAACCCAAGCACCGCGAGGTGTCGTGCGACTCATACCCAAACTCAATGGTGGCAAAAAGAAGGTTGACATTAACGGAAATCATTTTGGTACTGCCATGGACACACTCCAAGAACAAGGATGTAAAAAAAGAATGCCCTTGCCGAATGCAAGACTCAAATCGTCTCCCCACCCGATTGCGCGTGATGTGTACAAGTCACCCACCAACTTCCTCAAAATTCTCAAGAGAAAACATCCCAATCTGCCAGGAAGGGGTTTGACACGTATATACATGGGTAAGTGGGCGCCCGGGCAGGTCGTCCTTCTCCTTCTTATTATCCATCATATCCGGCCCGCGCCCTCCTCAGTCAGGTGATTCTTTCTGTGGGAAGACGACACGGGTCATGGATGGCAGGTACTCACGACCCAAGTTGACCACGGGTCGTGTTGAATAAGGTACTTGTTCCTAAGGTACCATCCTTTACTGAAAGAACAGTGATGATAAAGCCCACGTGCAGCTTTTCCAGAACGCATTTGGAAAAATTGTACAGACGGCAGATTTTTGGGTTCTTATAAAATGAACCGGGCAAAGGGGTAGTAAGGAATTTGGTTCAATTTCACTGTTTATTTTCCTGTGTCTTTTGCTTGCATTATCAGTTATGTAATATGGGCTTCTCTCACGAATACTTCCCATGAAAGTGCAGAGGCGATCTGATGTTGGACTTCGCGATGGCTTCTCACGTAATGGTACGGGGTCCTGTGGAAGGAAGTGTCCATGAATGGAATCGTTGGAATAACCTTAATGCGAATAGGTATCTCTCAAACATCAACCTACAACGCCTACAACATGGACGCATTCAATGCGATGCAAATGCAAACCCCCTTACGACGCCCGCCTCACTCGGACTACCATGAAAAGAAGAAACATTTAAGGACCAACTCAACTTGATGATTTGCCTCCTAATGATTGCCGTAAACTCATGACGCAGGCCATATCATGCCCGAACCTTGCTAGCTACCACCAAGAAGAAAAAAAGTGTCCGTCTGCTCAGAATGTCCAGACAACAACGATATTGTTCTTGAGCAAGATGCGAGAGAACCAATGGGAAGCCAAATCATCTCAATGGGTTAGGTTTTCCACTGGATAGAGAGAAAAAGACCGCCACATCCCGATGTGGCGTCCCTTAAAAACGACGTCCGCAACCCTGATTTTTTTTCGCACCCAGATACAAGAGGGAGTATCAACTCCAGAAATTGAGAAAACACGTTTTCATCGCCTAGACGTGGTGATGACGGTGCTGGTGAAGGTGACGCTTGGCGCGCATGGCAGGCGCCGAAGCAGACGGAGTGGGAGTCACAGTCAGGGTAGACGTGATATCCTCGTACTCGGTGACATAGACAATGTCCTCCTCCCAGCAGATGATGGAAACGGTGTTGACCGCAGTAATGGTCTGAGTAGACACGCAAGACATACCCGGGGCCGAGGAGCTGGCCGGAGTAGAAGTGGTGATGGGCTCAAAGACTGGGGTGGGAGTGAGCTCGGGAGTGGGAGTAGGCTCAGGCGTAGGGGTGGCCACGGCCTCAGCAGCAACCGTCTCGGAGACAGAGCTGGACGAGCCGTAGGGAATCTTGCCAGTCTCCTTGAACACTTCACCAGGGAGAGGGTTGGAGGTAGCGGTCTTGCCGGGCTTGTAAGTGAGAGTGGGAATGGTAGGAACCGCAATGCTTGAGGTGGAGCTAACGGGGTCAGCATTGCCGCCCTCGGACGAGCCGTCAGCGTAGGTGATCGGGCAGTTTCCGGGAAGCTGAGCATCGGGACCGGTGACGTTGTCCTTGGCGACGAGGTCGGGAATCTTCATCTCACACTGCTTAGCATCGGCCTCATCCTGGAGACTGAAGACGGCGCAGTCCTCGATGCGACCGGACAGGTTGGTGCAGGTGTCGACAGCCGACTGGAGGAAGTCCTCATCCCAGCCGGAAATGAAGTCGGCGTGGTATCCATATCCCTGAGTATCACCGTTGGCAACCACGAAGCGGCCAGAGCGGTCCTTGAAGGCGTAGGTGTTCCAGATGACCTCGTACAGAAGGTTGGGGGTCGAGGTCTCGAATCCATCAGGGCAGGTACCATCGATGACAAGGTCAGGGTAAGCCATGTGAGACTTGTGATCAGTGGAGTCGACGTCCTTTCCGTTCCAGCACGAAGGGAACATCATCTCGAACCGAACGCCATTAGCGCAGTTGGCGTCGAGATAAGCCTTGTCGGGAAGGAAGTGGCGGTAGAGGGTGCCCTCGGGGTCACGGCCATAGTTGAGGCAGTTGAAGCCAATGGCACGCTGACGAAGAACAGACTGGTCGGTCTGGCCGAGGATAGCCCACTCGGACTTCTGGGGGTCGGGCTTGGAAGGGTCTCCAGCAGTGTAGTTGCGGCGGTTGGTGTCACCAGCAATCATGCGGAAGCCAGGGGGGAATGCCTTGATATCCTTTCCATTAAGAAGGTAGTACCTTGGTACAGTCAGTATCGAGTACTTTGTGTGTGCTGCTTCGAGAGCAATGAGAGACTTACGCAAGCAGTCCTCCGACTTGATCAACAAGCTCGAACTCTCCAGTGGCAGAGTCCTGGAAGTACAGGGCCGGATGCCAGTAGGCCGACTTGTCCTGCTTTACACGGCAGGAGGTGCAGTCGCTGGCGGTGAGGTCACCAAAGTCAGCGGTAGGAGAGATGCCTGATTCTCATATTAGAAACCATGGAAAAAAACAAATCGTGATGCCGTGGTGATGATAAGGCAAGCGCATGCTTCCAATCTCAAAGGGATTTATTAACTTACCGCCAGAACCGTGAATAGCGTGAACGTGAGGAGCGGCGCCTCCAAAGGACATGAGAGGGTCGACACGGGCAAGGCCAACGCGGCCAGGGCACTCCATGCGCCAGAAAGCCTCGGCGCTGGTGATGAGGGCACTGACGAGAGCCAGAGCCTGGGTGTTGGACAACTTCATCGTGACGGTTGATGAATATTGTCGAGAGAGAGGTTGTGATGATGAGATGTGAAGGGGGAGGTGAGATAAGGTGATACAAGGGTTGAATGGGTATCAAAGTATGGAAATTCGACTGAAAGACAAGTCCGTTTGCTGGTCTTGAAAAAGATCTGAAGAAAGTCCAAGCCCAGTTGGATTCTTAAAGGAAGGCTGGAGAATGAGAGATCTTTGAAAAGGTCAGCTTTGCGCGAACGATATTTGTGAGTTTCCCGTCGAGGTGTTGTGTGGGTGGTATGGTGTGGTGTGTTGTGTTGTGGGTAAGGAAGTTTTTCAGGCAGAGAAGAGATGCGACGCGCGTGGGGGATATAGAGACCGGGCTGCTATTCACTGAGGAAGGAACAAGGCAGGAAGCAACAGAAAGTGAAGGGAAGGTGCGATGGGTTAAGCGAGGCGCTGATTGGGTCGTCGGTGAAGATGGTGATGGAGGGAAGGAAGGAAGGAGCAGGTGCAACCCGACTCACCTGTGACTTCTTCTTTTGGACTCTTCAACGATGAAATCAGGGTCAGATGTCAGAGACAAAAGGGTCCTGCAAATCTGTTCGGAATGACGACAAAAAGTTTGATCTTTGCAGATGATTTTCTTCCGTCAGCTTTTGCGCTTTCCAGTGGCTGGGAGTTGAGTTCCTAGACACGTGACGGATTTCAATGGTGGAGGTTTCCGTGGTGGCTCGGTGAGAGAGAGTTGGCGATGGTTTTCGACCGGGCTCGGCAATGTCTAAGAGAATTCGGGTTCGATCCTTGGCAATGCTGATTCGAGGTTGCTACAACACAGAGATCTTACGAGATTCCGTCGTCGATGTCCAGCACCACCGGCAGAGTCCAAATTCGGGATGTGTTGAGTAAGTGCGTTTCTCCGGCTTAAACAGATGCGCGAGTCGATATGTAGTTGATGACTGGAGAGTCCGTGAGTCAAGTTGGCGATTTTGGCGACGAAATGGCCGATTTCTTTTTCTTATGCCGTCACAGAGTACGTTTCTACTACGACAAGTTGAATGAT